TTTTTTTTTTGAAACTGTGTTGGACAGCTTGTCCGTTTTTGCCAAATGGCTTCAAACTTGGTTTTAGAGTTAAAATTAGGTTTTGTCATAGTAACCGAAAATGTTCAAAACATCCAGGGCTATAAGTTCAAGCTTTAAAACATTGAAAAATCTCGCTCTATGGTCCTCATTTTCGCGGTCAAAGTCACCGGAAAATTTTTCCTCTAATCCGAAAATAAGCAACTTAGATCAAGCATAAACATACCCCATCAAACTAACCTCAAAACTCACAAAACTAACATAAAACTCACACACCCTTATTACAACTTATTTCCTTGAGAATCACAATTTACATAAATGGATTCTCAAACTTAAACTTTGCTAGAAAATAATTGAAAAGAGTTCAAGAAGTTACCCTTAAAGAACTCTTTCTTGAGAGCCATTTAGATCCTTCTCTTCTTCTCCAAGGTTTGTTAATGGCTTGGAACTATAAGAGTATAAGGAAATTTGAGAGGAATATTTCTACATTTCAAACTTTACTAAAACATGAGAATGAGAGGATTTAGAGTTTCTTTACCCTTAGAGGAATACTTGACTAGTCTCCTCCTAGAATCCCTTGATCTCCTTCTTCTTCTTCTATGGTGTGATAGTGGCTCAAGATTGAGAGAGTGGGAGAAAATATTTGAGAGGAAATGGAAAGTGTGTAGCCGGATTTTTGATGTGGGAAAAAGGAGAAAAAAAATGAAGCTTATCCTATGATGGTTCCTTTTATAGGCAACTTGGAAATAATTTTTTAACATCACATCAACTCCTTCAATCAACCAAATTTTGGTTCAATTCCCCCCTTTCTTGGCCGGTTATGGAAGGAGAAAATGAGAAGCAAAATTGTCATTAATTCCCCTTCAACCACTACCATCACATCACACCATAACTTGTAACCTTTTATCACACTCAACTAGCCAAATTTTGGCTCTATTTCTACTATACATGGCCGGCCAAGTGGAGAATGAGAGAGAGAAAAATAAATCCTACCCCTTGTACTTTTGTCCACTCTCTTAAGTTTCTCTTGAAACTGCTAAAAATTATACTGACTGTAGGTAAGTAACTTAGCCGATAGGAAATTCTAGTTTCTGACAATTCCTTTTCAACTGCTTATTTATAATTTAATATTAATTCCCGACTACTTAGGGATCACATTAAATTCTCACTCGCGTAATATCTTAAACTGTTTCAAGTCATTAATTCTATTCTAGACTGAATAGATTCTAAATTTAACTTTTCTGCATTAAATCTCGGGAATGACGCTGTTTCTGACGGTGTCAAATCCCGAGCTCACATTGTACCCTTCTACTATGGGTATTTATCTTCTGACTTTAACCTAGCTGTCTGGCAATTAAGGATTTTCTCTTCTTTTAAAATGTTAGTGCATTTTTTTATACGCTGCTAACATCATGCTGTGTTTGGAGATTCTTGAAATTAAGATTCTCAAACTATACTTGTACTGAAAATTATTCCGCCTTAAAGTACGACGAGAATTTATCGATCGAATTTACTTGATTGAAAACATGAACTTAACATGAAATCTGCTACAGAATTTAGGAATACATATATTAATTCCATAAATCCTTCAGTCACGTAATATTTGTCTAAGAAAATCCTTGGCTTAAATACATAAATTGTATTATTTAAGGTCTGGGATTTTCTCAGTCATTACACCCAATGCTTCCGCATATTAATCATGTGTCATTCTATCTAAGGTTAAACACAAAAATCCCTTTTCCAAGTTCATTAAGGTTACCCAATCAATCTAATTAGTGATCAATTAATTAGAAGCATTAAACACAAGATAGAATAAACAATTCAATATTGATCAATTTAAATCAAGAGATAGAATAAATAAATTCAAGATTCATGTTGAGTTCCAATTGCAATCCTAGAAAAATAAATTAATTCATCATAAAACTAAAAGACAAAACTGAATTGAGTATTATCATCATTAAAATTACAAATCAAAATAGAAGAGAAGAAAGATTAGGATAAAAACTGGCGACATGATCTCCCTCTCTTTGATCCTCCTTCCTCAATCCGCAATCTTCATGAAGATAATCTCTCTTTTCGTGTCTAAAATTCCCCTCTTTGTTTCTTTTTGCCGCACTCACTCTCCACCTGGCATAAGTCCATCTCTTGATTTATATAGTCCTCCGTAGAAGAAGGCTTTGAATTTTAAAAGTCTCCCAAGAGATAATCCCAATCTTTTTTGGATAAGCACTACGGTTTATCTTCTAACATTTTAAATAGCAACTGCAATCTATTTTCTATTACTCCAAATTTGAAATTTGCCACCTGAGACGCTCGGCACTTCACAATTATTTTTTTTTCTTTTTCGGAAAGGAAATTTATATTTGAAAATCCACATTATGATCATCCAATAATCTTTCTCTATTTCACCTGTGAAACACATCCAAAAATAACTCGAAACACCATTAAAATGGCTCTCAAACTAACAAAACTCAAAGTCAAAAGTATTCAACTTATCGGTATAAAACTGACTTATCAGTTGTACATAAATCATGTTTTTTGATGCAATATACCCAAATCATGCTATAAACTGAGAATAAATAGACACTACTGACAAGGTTATAAACTTATGTTTTAATTTGGACAAAAAAGAAAGAAAGAGAGGACATGATTTTTTTTGTTATTTTATTATTATTATTAGTATTATTATTATTATTTTTTGCATGAGCATGAAGCACTCATGAATATTCGGTAATTAACAGGTATCCCACGCATTCTCCTTTTAACAAAGACCAAAAATCCGTTGAAACAGTCTTGACTGACGATATGGATAAATGTCTTATAATGTGCATGAATCGTCTTTTTCTAGTTCGTAGCTTGTACCTGTTTGCCACATCTCTATCCTCTATATGTGTAGATATTAAAATTAAAAAAAAAAACCCTACTAAAAGGACTAAATTTTGAATCATATAAGACTAAAAAAAATTATGATATTTCAACATCTGATAATTAATAAGTATATCCAATCCATAAAATATTTCATTTCCAAATTCTTGATAAATTTTTTTTTTTCAATATCTTTTATGCATGCATGTATGTATATATGCTCTTTTTTTTCTTTCTCCGATGCCTTTATTATTAAAAGCCTTGATTTGGTATAGAAGACGTTTAAAGCCTTATTAAGAAGAGTTATTCCTTTATCTAGAAGTTGGTATCTTTGCATCTCACTTGGAAGTTTTGGTATCACTCTAGAAGCGAATAACGCATACGCTTCTTTACAAAGAAAGACATCACATTATTCCTCCTTTCCTTACAAAAAAAGTATATCATTCAAGAATATTAACAAATAATACATAACACAGTAAAGTTGATCGATCACAAAGATCATGATGATCTTCTGTCCGCCATGGAAGTTCCATCTCAAAACTCGGATAATTTCCGCCACCAAAAACCGCCGTGTCACGCACATTCCTTCAAGAGATCCTGTTTTTTTCTCTTCCTTTTTTTCCTTTTTGTAATTCTTCTTTTAGGCGTAGCTACATTGGTCATTGTCTTTGGCTTGAAGCCCCAAAGCCCCGTTTTCTCCCTCGAAACATTAACACTAGATTTGTATGAGCTTAATTCTTATTTGAATTCAACTCTGTTTGTTTCTTCCGTCATTACTTTGACTCTCAATTCTCAAAATCCCAACAAGCTCGGCATAAGGTATAGCCCTTCTCGTCTTCGCGTCTATTTCGAAGGAATGCCAGTCGGAACAATTCGAGTTCCTGGTTTTCTTCAGCCTTCTCACAGCTACAACGTGACCGTGCCTACACGGGTTTTGTTCCAGTGTGTCAACGTTAGCCATGTCCTAGCTGAGGCCTCCCATGAAAACACAATTCAGATGAAAATATTGGGAGATGTTAAGGCTCAATTAGTGGCATTTCATATAATTACCCTGTTAAAGATTAAGGTTTGTTGTTTATCTCATTCTCTCCCAAACTAGAATTCACTAATTTACATTTTAGATTTGTTTGTAAATCACATTTCACTTTGTTCCCATTATAACAGGTTTCTCTGGAATGTGACATAAATATTGACCCTAAACAGCTCTCAATAAAAAATGAAGTTTACAGCGCAGTAAAAAATCACATGGTAAGCGTTCTCATTTTTCTAAGCATATTTTTTTTTTTTTCTTGTTTTCACCTTGCTGTTTTCTTTCAATTCTCTGATATATGCTACTACATTACTAAGTTAATAGGACGCTTTTCAGGCATCTTTTCCTGCCAATCCACAGACCATCTTCAGGAAATGCGCATTAGCATTCTACATTTAAGGTGTCCAAAGCTTTACCCTAGCTAATACTACTGCAACATGTAATTTTGACATTATCCACTTCTATGCTCCAAAAATCTCGGAGTTTAATGATCATTTGGTGCTCTGATTGAGGAAGTTCATTGTATTTAGATAAGTTTGTAAAATGTAACACACAATTTTCTATATGCTCTTCCTTTTTGACTTTGATGTAATGTTTGGTGCCATTGATCGTGGCCTTAATTCTGTAAATTTACTTGAACGTTTATTGATGGAAGTGTATAGTTATTTGAACTTAGCTATGCCCAAATTGGGCCATTCATTTCACCAACTTTTTCCTTCCGTTGTCTAGTGTTTTGTCTACATAACATTATCATAGAGACAATCCATAGAAGGCTAATATTCAATATTCATCTATACACTCAAGTGATTAGAGTGGAATACAATTCATTGGAATGATGAGATCACAAAATGCTTTGAAGTAGCTTTAGTTTACTAGGTATTAATTTACTAGGTATATACTATATATGAAAAAGATAGCATCTCAAGATAGTGGAAAGGAAAAAAACAAAACTCGCATTTATAAAATGTGTTTATTTTTTTCAAGTTTGTACGGATAAATATACGGTCGAAATATATTGTTCACATGGTGTAACAGCGACTGCCAATGCACAAACAGTACTCAGGACAGAGAATTTAGCTTTTTAACCCAATTTTCTCTTATTTTTTTAAAATAGAGAATTTTTCGTGCAGCACTAAGAAAAAAAATGACTATCAATAATTTTCTATTCTCAACCTTCAAATCTATATTAAAATTGTTCTGCTTACTTCTTCTATTTAACCATTAGAAACTGATATGGAAATGCCCTGTCAGTAAAGTCTCTTTACAATATATATTATATCTATATATACATATATTATTTTTTTTTCTTGAGGGCAATCGAGTTCAAACTTGATCGTGTATTGTTTTGGTACGAGAGTTGGCGAATTAGGTTCTAACATCTGTGCTTGTGGAGCTTGGCAATGTCAGTGTTTGAATAAACAGCATCACCAAATACAACAAAGTAATGAGCACAGTTTGACCACAGTAGCTTTTTTGTTTTGGAAGATTAAGCTTCTATCGTGGTGAAAATTATGCAACTGCTTAGCATCTTTGAATATTTTTTTCTTTGACCAACTTCATGTTTACTAAATTAACTTTCCTTTTAATTTTGGCCACCAAAGTATTCAACAAATGAATCATTTGCAATTTTCACATAAGTCGTTGTCCAGATCAAACTAATTGGAAACTCCAATATATATATATATATATATATATATATTTTTTGAGGTTTCGCAAAGGACCCTCATATACCGTGGTATATAGTTTTAGATGGTGTAATATAAAAAACTTAATCAGTTTATATGATACTAACGTGAAAAAAGTGTAAATTATTGTTAGATCTTTTTAATACCATTGTTACATAAGATAAATGATATATTATATCTCATACATTTCGATGTATTACAGTGTAGGACTGATTAAGCAGGTCCTTTGCCTATTTTCTATTTTGATAAAAGACAGCTAATAATTAGCCTCTCCTCATATTGTAATATAACTCACTTTTGTTGTTAATGCTATGATGGGAAGCGCACATCTTTTAAAACAATAAATTGAGCGTACAGCTTACAATAGTAGACCAACATATGATATATAAAAATCAAATTCAACAGTCATTATTTTAATATGAAGAGAAGTTTCTAACAACCATCTTTTGAGATCCAAGTCATGTGGGAATTGTTTATATAAAAAGTTTACATTTTTTTAATATATAGTTTGAACCTATAAGTCAAATAATCATGTGCCTCATTCATTAGAAATGTACTCTTAAATTGTCATAAAGTTAGTATATATATACAAGCCTTTTCCTAGTTGACGCAGTATTTGTGATTCAAATTAGACTCTTTCAAGCAATTTTGATACACATCTTTTCTCAATCACATGATCATTATTATAAATGGAAAATTTTCTGATTATGGATTGTACTTTCACATGATCATATGTCATGGTGCTCATTTTCTTCACCACTTCACATGATGTACGTGGAAAGAAATTTTGAATCCTTGAAAAAATCAGCTTCACTTCTTTCTCAAGCAATGTATGATTTCTAAATAGAATGTCTTCTAATCTATTTTGTTTTCCTTGTAGAAAAGTTTCAGTCATTTACTCTATTGAAATATGAAAGCAGCTTTATGCAACCATGATGAAAAAGAAGAGAAATTATGAGAATTTTGGTCAATGCAAATATGATGATTAGTCCAAGCTTCCATTTTGGAAGCTTGTTTTGCGTTTGTCCCAATTGCTATTCATAATTACAAAAACAGAAGAACAGAAGATATAAATATGTTCAACATCAAAAGTGACATATGAAATAAAAAATAAGATGATTAGTGTGCTTATAAGTTTTTGGTTTCCCTCGTTTTTTAAAACCGATTTTGTAAGGGTGAGTTCTACTTAATGAGTTTGTAGCAATCGGTGTCAGAACTAATCCACCAAGTTAAAATCGTTGCATTATAGGCCATTACGTTCCAAAAGTTCCATATGAAAGAAATGATTTATAGGTTTGTAACAATAACATAACAATATATGTGTATATATATATATATATCCAAAATTATCACGTGACAGTGCTGCATGCTTGTTACATATAAAATAGCTTTACCTTTTTTTGTTTGAATGAATAAGACTTTACTCTTAGTGCTTGTTGTATGCTTCAAAGCCTCGTGTCCATATCTGATAAACCTTTAGGCGCGGCCATGGAATCCCTGCAGTTTTCTCAACGTGGGTTGTTTCAACTCAGCCGTATCTGAAATAAATAAATAACTAAAGAAAAAATAGAAGAGTAATTCAGCATTATTTGTATTTTATTTTTGAATTACCAGCACTACTTTTTATTGTTATTGCCTGTCTTTGGACCAATACAAACGTTGAACTTGAAGTTCTAGCCAAAATACGTATTTCTTTTTTTTTTTTTCCCGTCATCAAAAGAAATATATTTTAATTCAAAGTTTAACTTTCATGAGCCATATAAATTTGACAAGAAGCAGACACGATTCAACTTCATAAACAATTCTGACTTTCGCAACCAATTAGTACTCCTATTATATATCAGTTGGACAAAAATAAAAGGTAATTTCTTTTCTTTTTTTTTTTTTTTGGTTTTTCAGCCATATATAATTCATTGCAAACAGCTAAATATAACTAAATATATTCTGTAATCCTCCACATATATATATAGATATATATATATCCTTTTCAGCTTGATCCAAACATCATTAATTATAAATTTAAATCGAGCTGACTGGTAAAAAAGGTGTAAGAATAGTTTTTGTCATTCAAAGCAGATAGAAACAAAGGTAGCTCTATTTATAGGTTGCGGCATACATATACACACACACACACACACACATATATATATATATATATATTTGTGTGCTTATATATAATGTCAGACATTTTTTATTAAGGCAAACCGCTAAGAAGTCAGTACTGATGGCCAAACTAAGCCCTCTCTTCATTCTTCTCTTTCTTCATCTGGTACTCGCATCAACTTCTTGTGAGAGTACAACATACAAATCCAAGCATTATTTGCCGAAAACACATGTCGCTTTATTCATCTTCGGGGACTCGTTCTTGGACGCCGGCAACAACAACTACATCAACACCACAACTCTTGATCAGGCAAACTTCTGGCCTTACGGAGAGACCTTTTTCGGGTTCCCGACGGGAAGATTCTCCGATGGACGCTTGATATCGGATTTCATTGGTGAGGTTTGCGTATCTTTCGGAGTGTTGTCTTCTTGCTAGTACAAAAAATCCAGTTTGTTTAACTAACATATATCCTGTCTGCTTATAATAATTTAATCAGCTAATTAATCCCATCCTTTTTCTACATGTCATGCATAATTATATATGTATAATGTATTATTATTATTATTATTTTTTGTAGCTGGATATGCCAATCTTCCCCTGATTCCTCCATTTCTACAACCGGGTTTTCGCCATTATTATGATGGAGTTAACTTTGCATCTTCTGGAGCTGGTGCTTTGGATGAGACTTTTCAAGGATCGGTATGTATAATGTGTGTACGTTGTTTTCTCTATCATGATGGAAAGAGAGAGTAAAACATTTACCTTTTTAATTTGTTACTGTCGTTTGCATAAATTTTAGATGCCGTTTGGTGGGGCTAACAAAGTTGTGACCGCATGCCAAAAGGGCAATAATTCATGATGTCTGAATACAACAAAACTGGAAAAATATAATGGCGTTGTCGATTCAGATATATGGGATCTTGTGAGCAATAATATTATGATTCATGTCTTTAGCTTCGGCCAATTTCACTTTTGGAAGTGTGGGCACAGACCTAATGTTGGTCATGTACCACAAATTCGTAAAGGAGGCAGTTGAATTGTCAACTATCAAAGTTTCAATTGAGTCTCAAAAATATTACTTGGCATATTGCCACGTGATGACCGATAGGACCACCTAAAGTCAATAAGGAGCATAGTTACAGTCCAAACTGTGAGATTTTTAATTATTTTTTTAAGAACTGAATTTTATTAGTGTGTGGTGTATCAATTTCATTTATAAACATAGTGGGCTTTTACTTTTTTTTTTTTTTTTTAGAACTGAATTTTATTAGTGTGTGGTGTATCAATTTCATTTATAAACGGGGGGTTTTTTTTTTTTTTTTTTTTTTTTTTTTTTTTAGGTATTTACCTTTTTACTAAACGAAAATATGCATGCATTTGATTAGTGCTTTTTGCCCTTTTGTTTTAGGTAATTGATCTAAAAACACAGCTAAGGTTTTATAAGAAGGTGGAGGCTCGGTTGAGACAGAAGTTAGGCAGTGCTGGAGCTGAAGTGACGTTGTCAAAAGCTGTCTACTTGTTTAGCATTGGCACCAATGATTACATGAGCACTTTCTTAACCAGTTCCACAATTCTAAGCACCTACTCCAAATCAGAATACATTGAGATGGTGATTGGTAACTTGACAGCTGTCATCAAAGTAAGCAATATTTCTTTTCCCCTTGTAACGTTAATATTCAACTTTATTTACCTAAAAGCCTTATCTAAAAATATTAAGCTGTTACTTTTTTTTTATTATTTTTTATATTTATTATTTGACGCGTAGATTGTACTGAGATGTTATATTATTATTTAAGTAAAAAATGAGATAATAGAGTCTACGTGTCAAACAATACGTAAATGTAGAAAGTGACAAAAAGAATGTCAGAAATAGTGATGTTAGCATTTCTCAATTTGCGTTTTTGAAGGTCACTTGTGGGGAATATTAGAGTGTGCTTACATTATTCAAATTTCACAGGAAATATATACACTTGGTGGCAGGAAATTTGGGTTTATGAACCTGCCAGAATTTGGTTGTTTTCCTGGGGTAAGAATAATCAAACAACATCACACAAATGGACGCTGCTTAAAAGAAGCTTTATCTCTTACAAAGTTGCATAACCAGGCTCTTTCTAAGCAACTCATGAAACTAGAAAAGCAGTTGAAAGGTTTCAAATACTCGCTCTACGACTTGAACAGCTGTCTCAGACAAATAGTGAATCATCCCTCCAAATATGGTAAGTACATGCTATTAGTATATTTACCATTATCAATAAAACGTTACTTAATTCTAATCGTATGATATTATGGGATGAACCTATTCAGAAACTTGAGCCTAATGTTTGGAGGGCCAATGGAGTAAAGGAAAGGAAAAATGTAGTAAATAACAGATTTTTAAAACTAAATTAAGTAAATAATAGAATTTAAAATTATTGAAAATAAATAACAGTTGATGTGATAAATGCGGTAATTGATTCATTTACGGTTAGTAAAAATATTTTTTTCAAGTAAATTTTCTTTTTACGACCGGTAAAAAGAATTTTTCCATGCAAATAAAGATTTTTTAAAATTTTTTACCACATAAATTATTTCTTATCACTTGTAAATGAATCATTTACCGCGTAAATGAATCATTTACCGTGTAAATAATTCATTTACTACGTAAACTACTATTTATTTTAAATAGTTTTAAAATCTGCTATTAACTATAATTTCTCTAAAAGAAATCCATTTTTAGAGCATCGATATTCAAATTATACCATTTTTTCCGGAAATTTTGACCTTACAAATAAAAATAGTACATGAATAACTAGACTCAAAAATAAGAGAATTTTTACGATAGAAATTACATTTTTACTATATTAGTAACCGTAAAAATTATTATTCTAGCCATTCGATTAATTTTTAATAGTTTAATTTGTGAATTAAAATAATTTTATATTACGTATTATAAATTTTTAATATCGATATTTATAAATTAAATCTTTAAAAAACTAATTTTACAGATAAAATAACAATACCTTTTAACAGTTCCCCAAACATAGCACACATCTCAATTAACATTAATGCTTTGATGTAGTTGACATCTCTAATCACAATGCTTTTTTATAATAGATCAGGGCCAGGGTGTGGCAGACATGTCAATCAAACAAACATGGGGCAGGAAGTCTGTTAATCAGATTGTCTGATAAAAGCAAGTCAACTTTTCTAAGCCCAATTGGAATTTTCATACGCCCGCTTCTAATAGATCAGCACTACCGGTACACAAGTATTAAGGTCTCGTTCACTTCATCGATTTAAGTTTAAAATTTAAGTTTTATTATAGTAAAAAGTTTTCTCATACGCCCGCTTCTAATAGATCAGCACTACCGGTACACAAGTATTAAGATCTCGTTCACTTCATCGATTTAAGTTTAAAATTTAAGTTTTATTATAGTAAAAAGTTCTAAAAAATAATCACATCTAACTTTTTTACTACAGTAAAAAACTCTCACATAAAATCACATATCAACTCAAATTATAAACTCGAATCAGAGAAGTGAACGGACCCTAAAATAACCGTCAATTTCCATATAATCCCCTTTTCTTTTCTCTTTTTTTTTTCTTTTTTTTTGTTCCTCCTTTCAAAGTCTAACCCAATGCATTTTAATTGTATTTTATAAATATCCACTGTATGATAACTAATAGCTAGTTGAAATTAGAAGGGACGATCGTTATTGCAATTAGGATTGTTGGTTTTATAATTCGAATCACAACTCAAATTTTTATTATAACATTTAATTTTGATTTTTTTTATAATATTTTCTATCATAGATTCACTTTTCTCTCGCATAGTTCTTTAACTTAAACGCACGAAACTAACGGGACATAAGTGATGAGTACAGATTACTGAATGTGGAAATTAAATAATTGTTTTTGATGGAAGGATTCAAGGAAGGGAAAACAGCTTGTTGTGGAACAGGGAAGTTTAGAGGAGTGCATAGCTGTGGAGGAAAAAGAATGGGGATCAAGGAGTACAATCTTTGTGAGAATCCCAATGAATATGTTTACTGGGACTCTTATCATCTCACTGAAAACGTCTACAAACAACTTGCCGATCAAATGTGGAGAGGGACAGCCAATTCCCACACTGTTGGGCGCTACAATCTGAAGGATCTCTTCCTAGCTTAGAAACTTTTTAATACAAGTCAAAGTCACCAAATATATTGTTGGGAGTGGCCTCAAATTAAGCCCACAAGCATGTTAATTTGGTATTGGGCTCAACGCCCATGTCTCCCATTAATGGCTGCCGCGTGTTTTTTTTTTTGTTTTTGGAGAAGCATATTTTTAGTTTGATTTGCTTTAAGACTCAACGGAGCTTGTGCCAGTTTAGTAGTGCTGTAAATTTTAAAAAAATTATTTTTAATTGTGTTAAAAGAAAACGTAGTTGTTATAAAAAAGTATTTAAGTGTTTAATAAACTATAATTATACAAGTAGTGTAGGTTTCAAAAATAGTGTAATAGCGTTTAATAAATTGTAAGATTACCGTAATTAATAATAAGATTACCGTAATTAATAATTTTAAATTAATATATAAAGTAATTAAAAATTGATAATTATTTAGCAAATAAAAATTAATATATTAATAATATAATAATAATGAATAAATTATCATTAATGAGTACAATAGTAATTAAACTATATATATATATATATAATATTAATTACTAATGTTTATTTAATAATCTATTATTTGATATATCACATGATCAATTTTTGGTAATTATTCATTTTATAATAATTAATTAATAATTATCAATTATTAATTATTATTGATTAGTATATTACATATTGGTAATTATAATTTAATATTTATTATTAATTGAGTAATTACTATTTATTTTTTATTTACCAACAATTTACTAATTAATAGATTACAATTAACATAATATATGATTGATATATTAATTATTAATTATTTATTTAATAACCTATTATTACTTGTTTTATTGTTAATATGCTATATAATTAATTTTTGGTAATTAATCTTTAACTAAATAATTAATTACTATATTATTTATTATTTATTAATAAAATTAAAAACTTAATAGTAATAAATTAATATTTAATTAGTAATTAAGTAATTACTATCTATTTATTAGTTATTAAGTATATATATTTATTAATTATTAATTAATATATAATATAATTATTAATTAATAATTTAATATAATTTTGTTGATAATAATTAATTGTACTATGCCGATTCCCACAAAATCTAAAAGCTAAAGTTGCATTCGGGCTGCTTCTGATTTTGGTTGTAGATTCTTCAAAAATTCTTTAAAAATCACTTTTTATAGTTTTTATCAAACATCATTATCAGCTTTTGATGGTTAAAGAAGTGATTTTGGGCTCCAAGAAGCACCCTAAAGCTTTTAGAAATATGAGATTCTATGTGCTTATATGGATCGTGAGAAGTAAGAGTGTATAGTGCATCTGCACAGTTTGGTTATTCTATTGATACACAAGTTTCTCTCTTTTATTTTTTTGAGCGAGATTTGGTCAGAGATTTATCTCTTTAGTATTTGGTGTTCTTGCTTTTACGTTGAGAGATTTTGAGTGTATTTGGGATTTAGGTGGTGAGAGATATTTGACACATTTTTGTAATCTCTTTTGGTTATAGTGAAATTTTTTCACCGTTTCTGTTCGTGGACGTAAGCCAAAAACTGAACCACATTAATTCTTCTTGTTTTTTAGATTTTTTTTGTTATTCATATTTTGTCCTAAATCTGTTTAATTTAACGTTTGGCACAATATATATATATATATATATATATGGTATTGTAGCAAGTCTTTGAAAAAGCTAGAATATAAGACAAAGATGTCATTGCTTCTATTCTTTGATCCTAGTTATAATGAATAAAATGATGTCTACAAAAACGAATATTGCATTTATGTAAATAAGTCACGATTATTATTGGTCGTTTTTCCTTGTTCCAAGATAATGTCTTAACGACCGGAAGGAAAAAAAAAAAAAAACGAATTTTCATATGCAACGGTCATGATATATAGAAATTGATTTATTCTTTGATAATTGTAATAAACAATGAACATTAGTCTTGAAACATTTGTACTTTTAAAATCATACGTACAAAAAAGTCTTCAAAACTCACAGTATCGTGTGTAATTGGTTATTGACTAGGGAAGAATATTCAATTATAGAAACGGGACAAATAGCTTTAAATTTTTCCTAAATGGCGATTGAGAGAAGAACAAGAAAGGTCTTGATGCCATTACTGATATTGATCTCTTTAATCGTCATTATGTGCAGAAACATCAAAATAATTAAGCAGAAAATAATAGTGCAGAATCATAAAGAGCATCATGAATTAACATCACAGTTCGGTGCGCGTACCTACATCTGTGAGGCCACGCCCAAATAGTGAACAATCCACTAAGTTTCAAAGAATTACAGACACTAATCGGACTTATACACCCAAAGACTCCCTCATTAACGTTATCGCTGCCGTGTCGAATCTCCTTAATAGCCTTGTCAAGCGAGCACCACTCGTTTTCAAACTGCACAGTAAAATCCCTCCAGCTGGCAGTGCGTTTTCTCCTGAAAATTACAAATCTTTCTCCTGAAAGACAATCTTCAATCAACACTCAAATGCTCACTATCTCATGGACTTTGCTCAGATTATTTTCAATTAAATCCCTCTCAAATATTTTCTATATAATCTCTCTTAAATGGCCGCACCTTTATTTACTCTTTAGGCGATATATATAAAAGTCTATATTGGACTCCTTGATAAAATCAGCCCCATGATTTGCTCAATATCAATCCTACTAAGATAGCTCTTCCCCCAAAAACTAATTATTCACTCAGCACCACAATTTTCGTTCACGCACACACCTCACTTCACGTATACAATCACATATATATCCATGAATATATATATATATATATATAAATAAAGTTTGGTTTTATTCCTTTTGAATTCTAATCCACCAAGACCAAAATGTACTCCACCAGATAATCTTCAACTAATACCCCACGTGACAAGCTCATCACGTCCTCTTATTTCCATGTCTACCACCGCATCAAATATATTACTATATCTATGATGCATCAAATCTCCCAAATCTTTTTTTTTTAAATTTTCTTCTAAAATTTGATTTCAACCAAAATCACCTCTAATCTTCTTCATAAACGCCGGTTGCCAAAAGTATTTGTTTTTAAATTTTTACAACCAATGCTAACAAATTGTCAAATATTTTTTTACATATATTATAGTGTTTATTGGTGATAATAAAGGTTCTATATTTATAAAATACACCCTATCTTACTTATGTTGGTTTGTATTAAAAATTTAAATGGTGAATTTTTATACACTTGTTATTTTTGAGTTATATTGTAAACTTAATTTTTTATTTTATTTTTATGGTTTAACGATTTTATAATTTTTATAAATTGTTGAAAACCTTTTTAGTCTTAAACTCAAATCGTTCAAATCAAGCCGCCCAAACTGCTTAAGAGTGATTTAGTTCAATTTAATTTTTGTCAAAACTTCAAACTGCTCAAAATAAAAAATTATTTTTAATTTGATTGGTGGTTTTTTAATTAAACTACCCAAACTAACCGCCAACACCCAAAGAGAAAAGGTAGAGAGAAAGTAGAGGACTGCAAAAATAAAGTAAAAATTATATTTTTATTCTATGTTGACTTACCTTACACAATTTTACTTAAATGCCCTCCATTAATTCACTTTTTAATGCCACATATACAATTTCCGTTCATTTAATACATGAAATAGGACGAAGGGAGCTGTTTAACCTGTTTTTTTTTTTTTTT